GTAGCTGCTGCTTGAGATAAATGACTTGAAATAGTCATGCTGGATTGCTCAACAGCCTTGCAGCACTGGAGGAAACCATTCGTGATAATAGGCCTTTGCAAGGCTTCGAAGGGGATCCTCGAGAAGAATGTCAGCAACTCCAAACAACTGTCCACATCTAATGAAGGCAAGAAAGTCCTACTGGTGGAGGAGGAGCTCTAAAAAATTTCTAAGAGAAAATCAGCCAGAACTAATGGCTCAGTTTCATTACTAGATGTTGGAATGGTAGAAGGCATATCAAAAAGGCTAGCTAGTCTAGCTTCGAAAATGTCCACCTCTTTTGTTGACATGGTTGGTGCCAAAAGGGCTCTGGTAGAAGAAAGAGATAGCTGCATAGGGATAGGAGAGGAAGATGAAGTATCCCTAGCAGTTTCCATAGTCTTGGCTACCAGTAAGTCAAGAGAAGAGGGACTGGAGCTAGATAGGGATAGTGGACAAAGAACTGGTGAGCTACCAGTCTCTTCTCTAAGGGAATCAGCTATCACTGGAGATGAAGTAATAACTGGAATTTTCTCAGGAGGGGAAGGAGCAGCAAGCCTTAAAGGGAGAATAAATTGGGCAGAGTTAAAGGATAGAAGATGAAGGTATGGAGTTAAGACAAAGGATAGAAATACATGAATGTTTTGCCTCAAGGAAGGTATGAAAAGTGTAGAACCAGGGAGTGAGTGTAACGCCCTCAAAATGAACCTATAAATCATACATTCAAGACATCCATAAACTTAAGAGAATAAAGCATAATTCTATTTATCAGAGTATTCATTACAACAGTGTTACATGTTGACATCAAAAGTAAATGCCCTACGGGTTTACAACTTTCAAAGCCAACACTTGGTTACAAAAAGGAGAGTACTAACTCAAAGCACAAAATAAGCCCTTGGCTTGATTTACATGTAATACACAGAATAATCACAAAAGAGAAGTCTTCAGCTTCTACAACCTCCCAAGCTACATCCTTGGAGGCGGCATATCACATGTACCTGAAAATGATGTCCCATATTGGGTGAGCCAACGCTTAGTAGAGATATGCTAAACATAATATGAGCAATAACTACAACGTTAGCATTTGATAAATGTTACTACTTATAAATCAACTTACAACATTACCCAGCTCCATGACAAATATGTCCATGTTTCATTCCACTTTCCTTTACTTAACAAATTTTCAATTTATGAACATGGCTCAGAACCTGGCCAAACAATTTAATGAGACCACAACTCATATCAAAGCACTTCCTTTTCAAATGAGTCAATAACTCATATCAACAATACTTTAATTTCAAATGAGATAACAACTCATAATAAGACACTTCCATACTTCACAAATGATACACAGATTTGCTGTATCAATGGAGTTCATCTCCTATCTCCTCTCAAATAACATCCGGTTTAGGAGTCTATCCCTTATCTCCTCTCAAACCGTGGAGTACATCCCCTATCTCCTCCTACACAATGCAATGTATATAAACACTTATCATATACAAGATCATTCAATACACATATTCGATGTATTATTCCAACCGTCATATTTAATGACATATTCAACGTGATTAGTTTCAGTTTTCCCTAATCCACATACAGTGTCTACAACAATCAAGACTAGCCTCCACCGATAGTCCAAAGCAGTTATTTCTAAACAGATAATAAATGCATCAACAGATAAATTATCAATATTTTCAAAAGTGAGTGATTAATCAATCCAACTTCACCATTCTTTTTCATAACTTCTCAATTTCACTATTTTCAAGCCAATTTCATTATTTCATAATGAAAGTAATTAATTTCACTAATGACCCAATAAAATCCAAATATGGCATTTTTCCCATTTTCCCAATATTGACCCAAAGGTCCAAATATCATTAATAAACGTTCATAACCTCATTTTAAGACCCACATTCACATATATAGTTCAAAAGGAACAAAACCCCTCTTTTCAATATTTCAAACCTCAAACCCTAACTTCCTAAATCAAACCATTTATACAAAATGCCCAACATCTATGTTAAAGATCATAAAAATGAGTAGTTATCCCTACCTCAAATGGAGAGACCAAATGGAGAAGATGAAGGATTTTGAAGGTGCTCCAAACCCAATATTTTTCAGATTTGAATGTAGCCCAAGCCAAGCTCTACACTTTTTGCAAAGGAACTAAGGAAAAAGATCACTCAAACTAGATCAAACCTTGGAGAGAAGTTGAAGTCTAGAGTGAGAAGCTCTCAAGTTTGGGTTTTGAAAAGTTAGAGAGAGAGAGAGTGCCGAAAAGTGATCCAAAAAGCTGTATGACAGACTGATATACAAACAGGTCCGCTCGAGCGTCAGATACAGACTTACGCTTGAGCGTCAAAAGCACCGCTCGAGCGCCGGATGCACACTTCCAGAAGTTTTACAGACGATGGTCCCCGCTCGAGCGTAAAAGTGGATGCTCGAGCGTCCGATGACCTGCAGAACAAAAATGCTGAGAGATGAATAATCACGCTTGAGCGTCAAAACGCCCGCTCGAGCGAAGAAGCAACAACAAAAGGCCCGCTCGAGCGTGAAGGCCAAAATCTGGGCATCAACTTTTGGTTTCTAAACACAACCAACCTGTTCCCAACCTGCCCAACACAACCCAAGACTCAAATATAAAGAGTAAATGATAGAAATAAGAATAAGACAATGACCAACAACCACGGAACCGAGTCCAGAATTGTAACACCCTGTCCCACATCGGAAGTTTGCATGGGTGATCTTGGGCATATAAAACACCACTACCTTGCTACTAAATAACTTGGACTTAAGCTTTTGGGTATTGTTGGTCAACCTACAAGTTATTTGGGCCAGCAAGTAGTGGGGCGTTACAAGAATACAATTAAACAAAGAAGGGAAAACCAGGATCGCTATAGTGGGAGTATTACTTGAATAGGCTCCACATTTCGAGGTCTTTCAACTTCAGATAAAACTGAAGTAGTCCTTATTGAAGGAGAAGACAGAGTAGTTATTGCTGCAAAAGAAGAAATACAAAGCAATGTTAAGTTTCAGTATCAAGAACTTGAGAAAGGAAATTAGAGACACGAAAGGAAATTACTGGTTTCAAAAGTGGTAGCAATGGTTGGAGAGCTGCGAAGGGTATAATGTTCAGCAGTTTGTTATTTCCTTACAGTTTCTCTTTGGAGTTCATTAGCAGCAACAGCTTCATCCCTAAGCATTTGCCGTTGTCCCATTTTCTCAGCCCTCTGGAACACAATGATTTCTTTAGAATGTTCCACTTCCACTGCTTTAATAGATGCTTCGTGAATGGGGTCCCTAGTGAAATCAGAGAGAGAGACTGTCATTTTCTTCTTTCTTTTTAATGGTGCCTCTTTCTCTTTTTCTGCTTCCTCTTCCTCTACGTGAGCCTCAGGTACCTTTTCTTCAGGATCAAGCAAAATTTTCCTTTTCCTTTGTTGCTTCTGCTTGCTCTTAAGGAGATTTAAAGCTTGAGCTCTTTGAGGAGAGTCTCTCTGTGAGTCGCTTACGCCACCTACACCAAAGGAGGAACTATGAGTAAAAGGCAAAAGTGTCATAAAAGGAGAAAAGAAAATAAAAGAAAAGAAGCAGCATTGCATACTTTTCTTCGAAGTAGCTCGAGTAACTCTAGGAGGAGTTGAGGCAACAGAAGCAGACTTTGTAGTAGCCAAGGTAGGAATTGGGACGGCATGAGCAGTAGAGGAAGTAACCACACCAGTTCCTTTAGACTTGACTTGAGGCACGTCTAGTACCATTAATAGATCTTGAGGAGGAATGGCTAAGTGCATCTCCATACTGGCCATCCATCAATTCTGGTACCTTTTTAGTATATTGCTTTGAGGTATGAGGGGTAGGTACTCAAAGTCAATTAGATCTTGGATAAATTTAGAAGTTGCTTCTTCCAATATGGATCTTCGAACCTTCAAATCTCTGATGGCAAGGCTTAAATTGGACTGACTGCAGAGAGAGATAGGGACCCCTTGTGAGAATCCAAATTGCTTAGCAAATTGAGCAGGACAATAGGGCTTTGAAATGCACTTATAAGCTCTGGGGTTCATAGTACCAATGAATAGTTCCCTAGGAATCAGAATAGAAGTCCACATGTTTTTGTGCTGAAGCGTAGAACAGGACCTATCACTCAAAAAGGTCCTCAGCCAGGCTGGGCCAATATTGGTAGCTTCGAATGGACGGAAAGTGTGAGAAGAAGGGGAAGCTAGGAGTTGGTAAAAGAAAGAAAAGTAGAAGGCGAAGTTGGAATGATAAAGTGAAACATTGGCTAACTTCATACCATGAGTGGTAGGGTTTGGCTCCAAAAACTTTAAGCATTTAGACTGTAAATCAGTGAAATATGCAAAAAACCAAAGTTGAAGTATCCCAAATGGGCATCCTTGACTGGCATCCATAGGTTTTTCACAAAAAAGAGAACAAACTCTATAAACATGACCCAAAACGTATGGAGCTAAGGCCACATTTCTTTGTAAAACAAGGGCTTTGGCAAGTGGGGCAAACTCAGGCATGATCTTCTGAGAAGAAGTACAGAAGAGGAATTTGCAAAGCCAATACAATAAAAAAGAGAAAAATTCCCTATCAGTCATAGGGCCTTCTTTTTTATTATGAACCTTGACAAAGTCACTATAGGAAGAGTTCAGATGGGAGAGAGAAAATGGGGTTTTGAGGTCAAGATAGTCTGGACTAATGGGGATACAAATAGGGGATAATCCTAACAGATGCCAGATGTCAAGGACAGTAGGAGCCATCATCCCACATTTAAATTGGAAGAAATTGAAAGCAGAATTCCAAAAATAAAGAGCAGCAGGTATTAAAAATGGTTCCTCTAAAATGGTGAACCTGGACAATTGAAGGGCGTCGAAGAGGCAAAGCTCTTGAAGATCCAGTGTTCTAGCAGGGACGACCCGATCATACCATTCCGCCCACTCTGGTCTTACTCTAGGCCAGCAGCGATGGGGTCAGCTCATCCTTCAGCTTCCCCAATCAAGACCGCCTTCATAAAGGAGGGAATGATCCTCTAGACGCGAATACAAAGCTGGAAGCTCAGTGAGAATCTCCTTCAAAATGGGCCCAGGCATGTATTCTTGTTGTTCATGGCGATGAGGAATGAAGATGCGCCCGTCGATAGCATTTTTCTCACCAGCCTTGTATTTCTCACATTTTTCATCAATGATCCATTCTAAGGCTACGAATGGACTCACACGTTCCATAATCAGTATTTTCAACGAGGAAAAAGCCATTGACAGGAGTTTTTTCAGAAGACGAAGTTAAGAAAGAAGGTAAGGGAAAGGAGAAGTCAATAGAGATGAAGGGTTTGTGTGTTAGGCGAACAAGTGAATTGGAAGCACGAAATAAAAAGGTTTTTAAACCTTTCTGTCTGAAAAATACTCAATCGTTTTAAGTGGGTAGAATTCATAAAGAAGTACTAAAGGTAAGGATGCGAAAAGTTTCTCTCAATGTTGATAATTTGGGAGGGAAGCGTATCTCAAATACTAATATTGGCTTCGAAATCAAATGTTTGGCTTCAAAGCCAAGCTTTGGGGCCAAAATCAGGTGACAAACATTCAGCTAGAGCTTCGAAAGCGGGAAGTTGACTTCGAAGCACATTTCACACCTAAGAGTACAAAAGTGCCCAGGTATTTGTTTACTTCAAAAGGATTAAAGACCTGCTTTTAGGTTTCTTGGTGAAAGTAAAATCCTTTGAAGCAAAGTTTGAAATACTCTGCGGTTAGAATTTGTTTTATCTAGGCTTCGAATTGACGTAAAATCAATAGTTGGTGTAACAAGCCCGCGGGGGGAACCTCATGCTACAGTTCGGACTCGATTTGTGTCACGGTTCTTAATCTGAACCAAAGAGTCCAAATCTGGCAAATCGTTTGAGAAAACAGATTTTGTTGAAAAAGTAGTGCCAAACATGGACTGCTTTGCCAGATACAGAGTCGCCACCTAAATATTTTAAAATGGGGGAATTTAGGAAACCCTGACTCGGTGCCGAAGGCCACATGTCCATCATCACCGGAGTTGTCTCGGCTCGGGAGCTTGGGTACGATCGGGGAAAGTCAGCTATGAGCACCCCCTTTCGCCCGGTCCGAAGACCGGCCTCTACTAACCATGATATCCGATTTGGAAAACGTTATGTGTTCTTATTCCAATTATTAGCCTAGAATTACTATGTTATGCGCACAACAAACAAGTATAGACTAGATTGCCTAATTTGGAAAACATGAAACAACATCCGTTTGTTTTGAAAAAGACCTTCCATGTTGTACTTCCCCTTTTATATCCTCTTTTTGGTCCCATTTTTGTATGCCTTGGCAGCCCCGAAGTTGCTGTTTTTGGACTTTAATCCGAACTAAAAGTGGCCTTATTTTTGACCTCCTGAACATGTTTTATTAAGGGTATTTTCTTGTTTGATGAATGTTTTGTATACCTCATGTTATAGCCACTTTTTGAGCCTCATTTTTGCATTGCGTTTCTAATATATTTGTATACTGTTTTTGGCTGCCATAAACTGTAAATAGTCTTTATTTTGGGTCCCTCTTCACATTGTTGAAGGACCCTAACCTGTTTGGGGCCAGCACCTATGAGTTCCTTTTTAATCTCATGTTTAGGGCCTTTCTTGCATGCTAGTTTTGCCCTATCTTTGCTTGTTGTTTGGCCATGACTTGTACTAGAAAAAATGCTTATTTGAAAGCTGTTTTGCTTCTGTCTTCATTCTCCATGTCCATATTGTGCATGCTTTGTATAGCTGTAAGCCATTTCGGGTGCCAAAAGTCCATGTTTCGGGACTATTCCACGCATCGGTTGTGTTTTCGCCTCATTTCGGGGCTGTTTTCCCCCACATTTCAGTGCTGAAATTCCATTAGCATGATTGCATGCCATTTCCATGCTATTGCATTGCGTATGCCATTGCCTCGGTTTTGCGTGCCCGTGTGCACGCATTTCGAGGCACTCCATTTTCATTCATCGGCCTCTTATGTGAGTGCGGCTGAGGCTCTCTCATGTTAGTATAAGTCCATGTTGCATTCTATATGCCATTTTAGCCATTGCATTGCATATGCCTTGCCTCGGTTTTGCGTGCCCGTGCGCACGCATTTCGAGGCACTTCATTTTCTTCCATTGGCCACTGTTTTGGGCCTAACTAGAGCTGCCTAATTCATGTTTAAGACCATCCTTTGCTTATTTGCATGCTCATCTTGCATGTAAGCTTGTCACCATGCCATGTTGCATCCTTAGCTTGCATCCTTAGGTTGCATTGCATCTTACATGCATGCCTTGTTCCTTGACTTGATGATAGGAATTGGGCCTTGTTTGGTTTGATTTGGTTTTGCATACATTTGAAATCAAAGTTGCATACTTGGTTCTTTTGGGCCATCATGCATGGAAATGCGTGATTGGTGGTCCGAGAACCGAGGCACATGTCCTTTGAGTCATTACAATGATAAGAGACATGGTTGGTGCATATATGCCTTGAAATGTGCTGCCATGCTTTGCCTTGTCCTCTGTTGCTGTGGGTTGCAGGTTTCTGCAGGAATACTCTGCCTGACCGGCAGTGTAAAGGTGCCGGCCGGCAACAACTTCTCTGCCGACAACTTCATTTGGTGCCGATGATCATACAACACTGCCGGTGGAAATTTCATCTAGCCGGTGGTGATCCCCTCTGTCCAAGGATGCAGTCCTGAGGTTTTGACAGCCTCCAGGGGAGTGAAGGAAGGAAAACAGAGGCAGCCTATGCATGGCGGCGCGTTTCCCGAGGCGATCTATCTGCTTTTCTTAGTTTTATTTAATTCGTTAATTAAATTAATTTGTAATATTAATTAGCTTGCGTAGTTAATTAATTTGTAATATTTATTTGGTCCCTCGAGCGAGGGCAAATCTGTAATAAGTGTGCGTGGGTGGTGTGTATGTCTTCCAATCCCACTTCTTTCTTCCCTTTTATTTACCTGCTTATGATGGTAGATTAGGGCACATTTATTTTAGCATACCTTATGCTATGCATGTGTGCATCTGCATTTGTATTGCATGCATTGGGCTCGGTACATCACGCTAACTGCATTTGTACTTCAATTCAAAATTGACTATGTGATAGTTGATTGCATTTCACATGCCATGTTTAAGATTAGCCGAGCCCATCTAATTGCATCCTGTATGTGTTGCATTAGACAATTTAGCATGAACTAGGACACGCATGTTTTGCTAACTAGTTTACTTGTTTTGGCCGGAGTACGATTGTAAGTATTTATGCTTTAGCATCTCGCAGTGTGTGAATGTTAACATGACAGTATGCTTGCCATGCGGCTAAATGCTTATGTGTTTAATGTTTGAAATGCCTGTGGGTGAAGGTTGGATTGTTTGAGTTGGAAGAACTCATTGAAATCCGTGTTTTAGCCTACTTGCGAGTAGCAAATCCAAAAGCA